AAAAAAAAAAAAAAGAAAATGCCATGTTTATTCTTACGAAGCTTTTCCATTGTTTCCTATGACCATGCACTTTCTTTTCATAAATGTTCTTTTTCTCAAATTGGGGATCTGTAACCACTATCACCCCCATGGAACCAGACTTCAGAGATCCTACCCCTCCCCAAGCCACAGCCTTGGCCAGATGCCATGAACTGGGGAAGTAAGGTCTCTACTCCAGAGTTCCTCCCTTGAACCCAGGGCATCCTGGGATGGTCTTACAGAGGCCATGGAAACCATGTGGCCATGGGCATGATTTGGGGTGTATGTAAGACAGTACAAATATCTTAGCAGATTTAAGAGTCCTGCAACCAGTAAAAGGTTGAGTTTCAGTTGCTTTAGTCTGAGCTAGAGACTCAGTCAGTTTACAAAGAAGACCTCCCCAAAACCAAGTTGAAGCTGTAAGTGTTTGGGGCTCGGTGGTAGGGAATACCTCCCAGGCCCACCCCAAGCCTATGGGGTGGTGGGCTTTTCTCAGAAGGCCAGCATGCAGAGGGCACCCACTACTGTTCCTTCTCCTCTCATAGCTCAGCACATAAATCCCAAGTGTCACCAGTGTTTAGGTTTTGGTCAGGTGCTAACAGCCCAAGGGTTGCACAAGATGAGAGGGCTTCTGCCTGTCTGGGTTGCTGATCCCAAGGTGGACATGCATGCAGGGCTGTACCCCTCAGCTGGGAGGAGGGAGGGAGTGGTAGAGACCCTTCAGTGCAAACCGCCTCACCACCATCTCAAGGGGTGTCTTGCTTTCCTGTGATTATAGGATCTGCAGCGAGACATCGAGCAGCACAGTGCTGGGGTGGAGTCCGTGTTTAACATCTGTGACGTCCTGTTGCATGACTCCGATGCCTGTGCAAATGAGACCGAGTGTGATTCCATCCAGCAGACCACCAGAAGCTTGGACAGACGCTGGAGGAACATCTGTGCCATGTCCATGGAGCGGCGCATGAAGTAAGAACATAGCTGCCATGGGCATCTTCAGTGCGGTCAACTGCACTCTGCACCCCTCTGACCTCAGTCTCAGGGACTATTTTGCTTGCCGCACTTGAGAAACATGCCAAGACTTGGCATGGTGGCTCACGCATGTAACCCTAGCCCTTTGGGAGGCCAAGACTAGCAGACTGCTTGAGCTCAGAGAGTTCAAGACCAGCCATAGTAAGAGTGAGACCCCATCTCTACTAAAAATAGAAAAAACTAGCCAGGCGTTGTGGTAGGCACCTATAGTCCCTGCTAACTGGGAGGCTTAGCCAAGAGGATCACTTGAGTTCAAGAGTTTGAAGTTGCTATGAGCTATGATGCCAGGCACTCTATCCAGAGCGACATAGTGAGACTCTGTCTCAAAAAGAGAAAAGAAATGTGCCAGGGATCAACAGAGAGAACCTAGTAGGTGCTTATTAAAGAATTATTTAATGGGCATGCTGTCTTTGCCCAGTTCTCCGGTGGTTCAGGGAGGCCCACGGGCTGGCCGTGCTGCCTCTGTTCGCCTTGCAGTGAGTTTCAACCTCTGTGCATCAGGAGCTCTGAGGTGCTTCCACAAGGAAGGTGTTCGGACAAGCTGCGACATCCTGGTTATTTCCCAGAGTGTTCCACTAGTGCTGCAGGTGTAAGGGGGCTGGTAATGGGCCTGTCGGGGGCCCAGGGTGACATGGATGGCTTGTGCTAAGCTGCCTTCTTCCCATCAGAATCGAGGAAACGTGGCGCCTGTGGCAAAAGTTTTTAGATGATTATTCCCGCTTTGAGGACTGGCTCAAGTCAGCAGAGAGGACAGCAGCCTGCCCAAATTCCTCAGAAGTGCTATACACGAATGCCAAAGAAGAGCTGAAGAGGTTTGAGGTGAGCACCCTTCTCTGCCCCAGTTCTCCAGGTATAAGCAGGCTCACAGCAGGCTTGGCCAGCCTCCCCCACCTCTGGCAAGGGCTGTGTAGTCCATGCCAGCTGTCAGGCAGAGAGCTTGGAAGCCTATTCCCTAGTCAGCGTCAGGACTGGGGAAGTAAGCCCTCTGTGGCCGTCGCATTTGGGGGATGGACCCCTTGAGGCAGGTTGCTTGGGACCTGGAGGGCAGTGTCCCAGCCCTCTTTGCACGAAACAGCAGTGACACCACCACCCCCACCCCTCTGTGTGCCGCAGGCCTTCCAGCGGCAGATCCACGAGCGGCTCACTCAACTGGAGCTCATCAACAAGCAGTACCGGCGGCTGGCCCGGGAGAACCGCACGGACACGGCCAGCAGGCTGAAGCAGATGGTCCACGAGGGCAACCAGCGCTGGGACAACCTGCAGAGGCGGGTCACGGCCATCCTGCGGAGACTCAGAGTAACCTCCTCTACATCATTGGGGTTGTCTGTAGATTTGCAAGGAGCAGCGACACGCGATATGCAGTGGCAGGCTTAGGGCACCCAGCAGCGGGTGGAAGGTTTCAGTTTAGGCCTGTGCTATCTTGACATCCCTCCAACACAAGCAACTTGAAGCTGCCAATGTTCTTTTTTTAAGAGAGAGATTGGCTGCATTGATCTGATAATCGCCTGTGAGGTGGCAATCCTTCATTAGAGGGAACAAATCTCCTCCTCTGAGTCTTCCTTCTCTGGGGATATACACTCAGCTATGTCACTGAAGGCAAATGGGGCTCTGGGTCAACCTCAGACCTGCAGTGTTCTTCCATCTTAAAGGTGCTAAATTCTCTGTCAGGCAGAAGCCTCTGTGAGATACTGACAGGTGGAAACAGGCAGAAGGCCTGGCCCTACCCCTCAGGAGGTTCCTCAAAGGAAAGAGGGAAATCACTGACTTAGACTAGAGAATTACAGACTTTAAAGTGCTCAAAAGGACCCCAGGGGCCAGGGTCAACATTCCCACACCTTCCCTCATTTGCCAGTGAGGATGCCAGGACCCAGAGAAGCAGGGGCTTGTTTGGTAGCACACAGCCAATGTCAGCCCCCAACTCCCGCATGCACTGTCTGGGTTTCCCAGACGCAAGTGTCTCTCTGAGGACTCTGGGCACCCCTTCCTTGTGGCCAGAAGGAACCTTGTTGTCTACTGAGCTCTTGTTCTGGGCTTGATACAAGTGGGATTTTCTGCCCTTTCACAGCATTTCACCAACCAAAGGGAGGAGTTCGAGGGGACCCGGGAGAGCATCCTGGTGTGGCTCACAGAGATGGACCTGCAGCTGACCAACGTGGAACACTTCTCAGAGAGTGACGCTGACGACAAGATGCGCCAGCTGAATGTGAGGGCCACTGCTTTAGTGCCTCTTAAAAGAGCACAACTTCGTGGTAGAGAGCTGGCCATGTACAAATTCTACCTGATACTCTGAGAGCAAATCCAGAACCCTAACAGCCAGGTTTCTTCCCACCTGTGTACTACTGGCTTATCATAGCCAAGGGGTGTCTGTGTCTGCTGGGGCCAAGAATATACACCCCCTGCTCTGCTGTTGTTTCAGATTCTTGCATTACAGTTTAATCTCACTATGATTTTCTCCGGGGGAGGAGGTTGTGAAATAGAAATCTGCCTTTCCTAAGATAATGGCACCAATGAACATAATTGTTTGTATCAGCAGAAGCAAATGCCCACTGGTGGCATACTATGGGAAGTTTTCTGTTTTCACCAGGTATCAATAAGATAAGTTCTCTCCCTCACACTCAATAACAGTAAATGTCCATCCATGTCAGACTTTTATTAGTTATTTTAATTGGAAAAGTCAGTACCCAGAAGGAAGAGAGACAAAATGTTACCATCGTTTTGAATTCTTAAATTGTCTAGCTGGGTGTTGTGGCAGGCACTGTAGTCCTAGCTACTTGGGAGGCTGAGATAGAGGGATCACTTTAGGCCAAGGGGTTGCTGTGAGCTGTGATGCCATGGGACTCTACCCAGGGTGACAGAGTGAAACTCTGTCTCAAAAAAAAAAAAAAAGAATTCTTAAATTGTCGTTGTTGTTCAGTTAAAAATTGGTGAAGCTGGAATACTCATGAAGGAACAAAATAAGAATCACATTTGGATGCGTTTTTTTTCTGTCCCTGTTATAAGAAACAGACACCATCTATATGCTAAGGGGATCTGTCTTTGAAGTTCTTTCTTTCTCATCTCTAAATAGGGCTTCCAACAAGAGATTACGTTAAATACCAACAAGATTGACCAGCTCATCGTGTTTGGGGAGCAGCTCATCCAGAAGAGTGAGCCCCTGGATGCCGTGCTGATTGAGGACGAGCTGGAAGAGCTGCACCGCTACTGCCAGGAGGTGTTCGGCAGGGTGTCCCGGTTCCACCGGCGGCTGACCTCCCACGCCCCAGTAAGGGTGACACCATCCCCACACTGCTCAAAGTTTACATGGGAACTGGATTTTTATAGAATAGGGAAACTTATCTTGTAATGGTTAGTTAGGGTTGATTTTGGGGTTTTTGGGTTTTTTTTGGTAGAAAAGCTACCTTGAGGCCAGACACGGTGGCTCACACCTGTAATCCCAGCACTCTAGGAGGCTGAGGCAGGAGATTCGCTTGAGCTCAAGAGTTTAAGACCAGCCTGACCAAGAGCGAGACCCCGTCTCTATTAAATATAGAAAAAACTAGCTGGGCGTTGTAGTGGGCACCTGTAGTCCCAGCTACTTGGGATACTGACACAGGAGCATCACTTGGGTCCCAGAGTTTGAGGTTGCTTTGATTTAGGCTGAGGCCACAGCATTCTGGTCCAGGCAATAGAGTAAGACTGTCTCAAAATAAAAAAAAGAAGAAAGGAAAGAAAGAAAAAGGCTACATTGAAACATTTTATTTCCACTTTTATTAATACAGAGCCATGATAACTAATTTCCATTGACCTGGTGGGAAGGATGGTACTTCTGAAAGTCCCTGCTCCCTAATCTCTTTTTAATCTATTTCCTCAATACAGGGCTTTTCCAGCATGTGTCAGCAGCCCTTGAATTCACTGATGACTCTTCTGGTTTTGATTACATTAGTAACTTAGGAATGTATTTGCTTTTTCCTGTCTCTTAGTTTCTGAAAGCTTTTAATGTTTGTTTGTGAGATAGAGTCTCACTCCCTCAGTAGAGTGCCATGGTCATTTTTCTTAGACTGAGGCATTACTACACAAGCAGAACAGACACCAAACAATCAGATTGGGGATAAAAAAGAAAGAACCTGGTATATGTGGTCCTTGAAATTGTGAATCTTATCCAGAACATTCTAGCTTTCTTTTTAAAAATACTCTGACTCACAGAGGAACCTGTTGTTAACTTACATCAGTGAAACTTTGGCAGCTTAATTCAGATTATCATACTTCAGCTTTTTTCCTAGGAAATATAGCTGGAGTTCTGGAAAACACAAATTCTAAGTCGCACTCCCCATTGTCTAAACTAGAGTAACCAGAAACAGGACCTGGAAACTTGATTCTTTTAAAGCCGCAGCCATTTTTGGAAACTGCTGGACAGGCAGACTTCCAATGCTCCTTCACGCTGCAATATCCTAAGATTTGGTTAATTTGAAAAACTGGATATTCCTGTCTAGGGCTTGGAAGATGAAAAGGAGGCTTCTGAGAATGAAACGGACATGGAAGACCCCAGAGAGATCCAAACCGACTCTTGGCGTAAAAGGAGCGAGGAGCCCACGTCACCTCAGTCCCTCTGTCATCTAGTGCCGCCAGCACCGGGCCCCGAGCGGTCTGGCTGTGAGACCCCCGTCAGTGTGGACTCCATCCCTCTGGAGTGGGATCACACAGGTGACGTGGGGGGCTCCTCCTCTCATGAAGAAGACGAGGAGGGCCCGTACTACAGTGCACTATCAGGTAACAGCCAGGCTCCTAGGTCACTTGCAGGTGACCCACGTGGCTATGTTTTCAGCCCCTTAGCAACACGGCCAGCTCTTGGTTGCCCAGAGCCCAGCTGGCAGCTGACCCAGCTCCTGTTTTCCTGTGGTCTGTCCTGCCCTGGGAATAGGCTTGCTCCTATTACAGGTGGAATGAAAGGAAAAAAGGCTGGGCGCCCGTAGCTCAGTGGCTAGGGCACCAGACACATACATTGGAGCTGGCCGGTTCGAACCCAGCCCGGGCCTGCTAACCAAAAATGACAATGACAACAAAAAAATAGCCAGGTGTTATGGCAGGTGCCTGTAGTCCCAACGACTTGGGAGGCTGAGGCAAGAGAACTGCTTAAACCCAAGAGTTTGAGGTTGCTGTAAGCTATAATGCCACAGCACTCTACCAAGGGTGACAAAGTGAGACTGTCTCAAAAAGAAAAAAGAAATGAAATTCATGTTTAGACATTGAGACTCGTCATTGAGGGGTCTGGCTATGTGGGACCCATCAGTGAACCCAGTCGGGTTTTCAGGGTATCAGTAGATAAAGCATCTCCATTCTTTCTGTGCCTCCTACAGTGACTTTGGACACTTAGGAGTTGGCTTTAAAAAAAAATTATTCTGGTTTTCAAAATCCTTTTCATAAAAAGGACAGAAGGTAGTTGTCTCCTTAAAGCTGGCAGTGTTCCTAGTATGTGAACTTAATACTCGGGCATTAATCTGCAGGCACCTCCAGTGAGGACAATGACATTATTCTTTTTCAGATGTAGAAATCCCTGAAAATCCTGAGGCATATCTTAAAATGACCACAAAAACTTTGAAAGCGTCTTCTGGTAGGCCCCTGCCCATGCATGTGTCTCAACATGGCAGCACCCCATGGCGCACGCTGCACCCTAAACCTCGCTCTGTGTCATGTCTGACCTCTGCCTTCTGTGGACACCATGCGCCCTGGTCCTTGTGTCATGGTGTATTTACACTGCCGTACTCACCCATACCCGCGTGTTCCTTACAGAACCCCACCCAACAAAGCAATCTCAACACCATCCCTCTCCTTCCCCCTCCAGGCCTATGCAGAAGGGAATTTTTCATGGTGCCTTTTTTGATTTTTATTTTTCTTCCATCTAACCAAGGTTCTTTGGCATGGGCCAGGCTTTCTTTGTGCTGGCTTGGTTTGGAACTACTCCCTTGCTTAGGGTGATGTCCTGGGAAGGGGTGGGCAGGGGCAGAGGGCTGTTGCATTTGCTGCAGGAGAAGAAACCTTCCTTTCCAGCTGTGGAGGCGGGGGAACCACAGCAGCCCTTTGGCCCCCAAGTCCATCTTAATGTTCCCTCTTATCCTTGCCCCTGGAAGGCCCCCAGACCCAGCCTTGCCCCCCGACATCCCCACCACTCGAGATCCCATCCCCACACCACTCATCCCACAGCAGACCGCGTTTGTCGTGCTCCGTTGTGACCCATCTAGTGACGGCGCAAGGGCGCTCAGTTGCATGACTCATTTCATTCCCTTCTGGGACGTACTGACATTTTGCAAACATGCATGCTTTGCAAGGAAAGCTGCAGAATTCATTTTTATACTGTCATCCGATGCCATGTTATCCATGACCTTTTTTGTATCACTAAACAGACTACACAGAAAACGGATTATCACTTGCTGTTTTTTTTTTCAGGTAAATCCATTTCTGATAGCCACTCATGGCATGTTGCCGACACTCCTTCCTGTCCCAAGCATCACTACAAACAAATGGAAGGTGACAGGGACGTACCACCCATCCCCTCAGATTCCAGCACCCCTTATAAACCACCCTATGTAAGTCTTTACCGGAAATACAACCCAAGTGTGTGAGTAGTAGTTAAAATATTTGAAACAGGGAGATTTTGATGTAAACTGTACATGCTCACTCCCAGGGCACATTTTGAGTTGATTGTCTCAGGGTGATGACATCTCTGCCAAGGTGTCTATAGTTGGCAAAACTGACTAGATTTAGAGACAAAGTTTCTAGCCAAAAACCATCCTCATGTGTGTTGGTGTGATGTGACAGTCATTGTTACTGTTGAGTCAGTTGTCCATGCAAATAGTGAGGAAGCAAATTTGGCTTTCCCGAACTGCTCCTGCACTCCCAAGCCCTCGTCACATTTACCTTTTGACCACATATCCTGTTCAGAAAATCATGATCTTCAGATTGGATGGTGTGCTGCAGAGGACTCGGGTTTGATTCCTAGGCTTGCCAGTAAGTTGCCCTGGGGCCTTAAGCACATGGCCTTGCTCTGGAAGCCTTTCTTTGACTGAAGATAAACCCACCTTACCCTACTGTACTTGTTAGGGTTAACGTGTATAATAGAACAGAGGGTCCTCAGAAGTGGTGGTCACTGTTACCACTTCCGTACTGGTTTATTGTTGATAGCAGTGACCACTGCCCCCTTAGCGACATTTTCTTCCGGCTACCTGAGTCTTTGGCATGACTAGGTAGCTATTGGGGTGCAGCCTCAGGTTTAATGTTGGCCACAGATCTTTCTTAATACAGAGAATTAACAACAAGAGAATTGAAATAAAGGAGAGAATATTGCTACATAATTGGAGAAAGTTCTGCCTTTACGAGGTCAAATCTGAGTCCTTTGACAATGCATTGTCCATACCTGATTCAGAAAGTCTCTACGTCTTGCTTAGCAAGCAGTTGTCATTTTTCATCTGTCCCTCTGTGGTTTGGAATAATGAGATGGGGGTGTCAAGGAGAAGAAACCCTTGCTCAGACCTTTGCTTTCTGTCCTGGGCACATCTGGTTTGGCCTCTCCTGGCGATTATATTCATGTTCCTCACTTAGTCAGTTTCGAAAACCCAACCTTGTTATTGTTTCTTAAACCAAGCATGTCACAACAGATCTGAAAGGTTTTTTGTTGGATTTCTCCCCCCTCACAAATAGGCCATATGGACACAATGCAAACAAAGCATGACTTTCCTAGAAGGGATGCGTTTATTTTTGGAAGGCCTGGTGTAATAGCCTGATCAGCTCTGTGATCACATAAGAGTCTGTATATGTGATAAAAAATGAATGCGTGGTAATGAGTGCCCCTGAGAGGGGTCTGCCCTCTGTGTGCTCCCCATTCCCAGTGGGTATAATGCAGCCATCTCCACAGAGTGATGGGGGAGAGAAGTAAAGTAGTGTAAAACACTGGAAATGTGCAGGTGCTGGCTCGGCGCCTGTGGCTCAAGCGGCTAAGGCGCCAGCCACATACACCTAAGGTGGAGGGTTCGAATCCAGCCCGGGCCCACCAAACAATGACAGCTGCAACCAAAAAATAGCCGGGCCTTGTGGTGGATGCCTGTGGTCCCAGTTACTTGGGAGGCTGAAGCAAGAGACTCACTTGAGCCCAGGAGTTGGAGGTTGCTGTGAGCTGTGATGCCACAGCACTCTACCCAGGGGGACAGCTTGAGGCTCTGTCTAAAAAAAAAAAAGAAAGAAAGAAATGTGCAGGTGCTCCCTGCTGATGGTCTGGTGCATGGTATGTGTGAAGAGTGGTAGGAAGCATGCAAATTAACACATTGGCCATTTTTCCTCCACCTTTGATGTCTCCTCCGCTTCCCCTCCCTGGGCCTCTGCCAAGGCTTGATTTCTGCCACCCATGCACCTCTGGATTACAAGCAAGATACTCTTCAAAGGAAAGGGCCCTGTCTCTCCTTATTTCTTGTCTGTTAAAATGAACCTAGTTGTTCCTTAGATAACCTTAAAAAGGTTTAGACAATAACTTAAAAAATTCACTCATTCCAGGTAAAGCTGCTATTACCTTCAGGAAAAGAAAGCCCTCGAGTCATAAATGGCGACCCACAGCAGGAAGATGAAGGCCTAGCTGGCGGGAACGGGCAGCAGCCAGGTACTGTCCAACTGGCAGTAAAAAGAGCTGGACTATAAGCTGGGCACAGTAACTCACGCCTGTAATCCCAGCACTCTGGGAGGCTGAGGTGGAGGATTGTTTGAGTTTAGGGGTTTGAGACCAGGCTGAGCAAGAGTGAGACCCTGTCTCTACTGAAAATAGAAAAATTAGCCAGGTGTCATGGTGGGTACCTATAAACCCAGCTACTCCAGAGGGTAAGGCAGGAGGTCACTTAAACCAGGAGTTTGAGGCTGCTGTGAGCTAGGCTGATGCCACAACACTATAGCCTGGGCATAGTAAGTCTCTGTCTCTAAAAAAAAAACTAGAGGTGGAGTATGGTATTTTGGGTTGGTTGGGCATGTAAGTTCTTACTCAAGAGAATATTAATTAGGAATTCACCTACTATACTGCACGTAATAATTCACTAAAACTGTTGAATTTATCCTATACATGCCAGTGTTATTTTAAAATCAGCTGATTTGTATTATGAACAAATCCCTAGGCTATTCAGTTTAATTTGGAAAGCATTCTTTAAATATTGATAAGATGGGCCTTGTATGGCGACATGTATGATTTCAGTGACATAATTATTTGTAAAGATGGGACATGAAAATGATGATCAGAGTGTTGTCTCATGTGTCTCCTCATTAAACCAGCTCAATAATTATACAGGTAATTACTCAACTAAATCTAAAGTAAAGCTGATGGCATTGACCTGATCGTTCATGGACCAACAGGGAAAACTAGAAAAGTTCATCATGAACTGAAATGCTGAACTTGAGACCATAGCACATAGTGGCAACAGATTGCGCCCCACTCCACTCCAGCTTCTATGCTCCTGCAAAGGGGCAGCATGCCCTACAGTTTTTTATCACCCTGACTCCAGAAAAATTAGCTGAAGTCAGAGAAATCTATTTGCATTATCGCTTTTTGAAATAGGCAGCTTTTTATTTCAGGTGCCTTTGACAGATGGGAACTGACTCAAGCACAAGAACTGCAGGACAAATTCAGGATGAAACAAAACTTGGAGCAGCTAAATTCTGATATCAGCAACATCACCACTTGGCTGGAAAAAACTGAAGCAGAGCTGGAAATGTTAAAGATGGCAAAGCCCCCCTCCGACATCCAAGAAATGGGTCTCAGAGTGAGAAGACTGCAGGTGAGTGAGATGTGAGGAGGAAGGAGGATTCCATGAGTGTGTATGTGTATGTGTGTGTGTGTGCACCTCACTTTGCTGGCCAAATGTACAGATGTCAGTGGTGTGGGCGCAGCTTGCAGATGGCATGTGGTAGAGGCCAGTCTCTCCCACTTCTCTGTAAGTGACAAGGACATAGGTGCAGATTTTTGTTTCCATATGGAAGACAAATGATCCCATATCCCAGACCAGCAGTGGGGAAGTATGGCTCAGATCCCCAAGTGATGTCCAAAGCACCCCTAGACTTTTATGGACCTGCTGGTCGCCACATGGGCAGCAAAAAACCACCTTTCACCAATCTGTACACAGCAGTTCCAGGCAAGACTAGGAGCAGAGGCTCGCTTGAAAAGGCAGGATTGGGCAGGGGGCAAACTTGCCTACTGATGAGTCCTGTGGCCTGACCTGGCTATCCTGGGTTTGTTTGTTTGTATGTATGTTTTGTTTTTTTGAGACAGTGTTGCCCTGGGTAGAGTGCAGTAGCATCATAGCTCACAGCAACCTCGAACTCCTGGGCACAAGTGATCCTCTTGCCTCAGCCTCTGGAGTAGCTGGGACTACAGGTGCCTGCCACAATGCCCAACTAGTTTTTCTGTTTTCATTTTATTTTTTGAGACTGAGTCTCACTTTGTCACACTCCATAGAGTGCTGTGGCGTCACAGATCACAGCAACCTCAAACTCCTAAGCACAAGTAATCCTTTGTGTCAGCCTCCCAAGTAATTGGGACTATGGGTGCCTACCACAATGCCCAGCTTGTTTTTAGAGGCAGGGTCTCACTCTTGCTCAGGCTGGTCTCCAACTTCTAGACTCACTCAATCCACTTGCCTTGGCCTCCCAGAGTGCTGGGATTACAGGGCCTGGCCCTGGCTACCCTGTTAGGAGGTGGGATATGTCACCCACGTAATCTACCCTGGCCCCAGTGGAACTAGCCTCAGGGGTGCAGTAGAGGTACAGTTTGAGCCTTGCACTTTGGAGTATGAGCATGAGCTCCTAAGACCCAGGATAGCAGTCTTAGGGTATCCAGGCACTCTTTACATCTTTACTTGAGTTTTACCTTTTCATTAACATGGCAGGGGCTACTGTTCCTCCTAAGGGAGAATATTTCTGGATAACACCAAGGGGCAAATCAGGATAATTATATGTACTTTGTCTGGAAGACTTTTAATTGGGTCTAGAAATGTTATTAAGCCAGCTGAAGAGCAGGGGCTACAGAAGTCAGCAGGGTCAAGTTGGCCCAGCAACAGGCAGGCCTCTGCTCTGGGGCCTGGCCAGCCAAGTTCACTGACTGTGTGTGGCAGCTCCTCACCTGACACATCCTGGCCAGTCACAGGCGAGCCTGGAAGAGCATGTGGAAGATCTGCTCCCTACTGAGGATCCGCATCCCTATTTTCAGAGTGCCTAACCCGATCCTCTCCTTCTGTGGCAGGAGATATTAAACGCCTTTGACACCTACAAGGCCTTAGTGGTCTCTGCCAACACCAGCAGCAAGGAATTCCTGCAAACCCCGAGTGCCGAGTCTAGGGAGCTCCACAGTCGGCTCCGCCAGCTGAGCCTGGGCTGGGACGCGGCACAGGGCGCGGTGGACAGCTGGAGAGACGGCCTGCGACAGTCACTCATGCAGTGCCAGGTATGCTGACCCGGTGCCCCACGTGGTGGGGGCAGCAGATATTTTTATCTCCAGCAGGCTCGTATCGGGATTACCATTTGCTTTTAAGAGGTCTGCCTGTCCTCTCAGAGATCCCATGTGGGCCCTGCTCTCTGCTCTGCCGCCCCGGCCCATGCCTGCCTATATAAAGGTTCTAGCAAGCAGCCTGCGGGCCAAGATGCCACTGACCAGCTCCCCTGTCTCTTCTTTAGCCAGAGTGATTAAGGCCCTGGACTTAGGTCCATTTAACCCTATTTGAACTTACTAGATGTGGGACTTCAGGCAAATCCTTGGTCCTCCTAGACTTCAGGATTCTCATCTGAAAAATGGGAATCATTTTAGTGCCTCTCTCGGGTTCTTTTTAGGTCTAAATGAGGCAGTGTGTATGACCTGGGCCCTGTACCTGCCACAAGGCAGTGTGTATAATCTTGGCCCTGTATCTGAATGTGAGCCACTATAGCCTGTCTGCCATGAGTCCAGCAGGTAACGTGTGTGGCCTTCACATGTGCACAGTCAGGGCACCCTAAAGCCCCCATCCTATGGCCACATTTCACTGGCTGCCCTCAGGACCACTCCAGGCATGCTCCTTCGTCTTCCCTGTGTTCTCTTCCCTAGTTTTAGGTCCCTGGCATTTAATTTACGTCTAGCCCTTTTATGCACTGGGTAAGGCAAGAGAAGCTAGTGACTGTGCTGGATTAGGAGCTGCAGGCTGCCCCACAGCGCACCCCTTCCAGAGCTCTAAGGAAAGGCAGTGCTGTGGTGTGTGCTGTTTTTAAGGACTTCCATCAGCTGAGTCAAAACGTGCTGCTGTGGTTAGCAAGTGCCGAGAACCGGAGACAAAAGGTTCATGTTGCCGACCCAAAGGCAGACTCCCAGACCCTTCTGGAGCGTCAAAAGGAGCTCAGGGTAAGTTTCTTTCTACAGGGCTCTGCACTGCCACCAGCCTCCGTCAGCTCAGGGGCTCAGAGCACCCAGAGCCCTCACCAAGTGCTTCTGTGAGCAGTGCCAGCAGCATTTGTCTGTGACGTGTGACTTCAGCCCTCCCCTTCCTCCCAGGCAGCCATTTGTAGTTCTGAAGCAGAAAAACCCGCAGGGCTGAAAAGCTATAGTCCTGAGCAAAAAGTCTGAGATGCTCAGGAACTAGGGACCCAGGTGTTTGCAATATCCTGAGACACCTGAGGCCATCTGAATAGAAACTTGTTCTCCCTGGTGAATGCTGCTCGCTTGGTAGAAAACATAGTGCTCATGTGCTCTGCAGCCTGGAGCCGTGTGGGTTTTCTGTACCCACACAGGACTGTCTTACCTGGTGGAGGAGAGTTGTGTCTTCTTGGATTTGTCACTAACAAACCAAGATGAGATCTATATATTCTCATGGACATTTGTATCCATCAATTTATGTGGCTTAATTTTAAATATTTTAAATTTAATCGGAGTGCTGGCCATTGTTTAGAAAACACATTTTTTGTGCTAAAATTTTTGTAAAGCCCCGTTCTCTAGAGCAGCAGCATCCAGTAGGATGCTCTGTGATGATGGAGGGGTCCACACCTGCACCATCCCATGTGGGGGCCGCTAACCACATGTGGCTTCGGAGCACTTAGAGTGTGGCTACTGTGACTGGAACTGAATCTTTCGTTTACATTTAAATAGCCACATGAGGCCTGTGCAGTGGCTCACACCTGTAATCCCAACACTCTGGGAGGCCAAGGTGCAAAAATGCCTTGAGCTCAGGAGTTTGAGAGCAGCCTGAGCAACTAGCCAGGCATAGTGACAGGCGACTGTAGTCCCAGCTACTCAGGAAGCTGAGGCAAGAGGATCTCTTGAGCCCAGGAGTTTGAGGTTGCTGTGAGCTCTGACAATGCCATGGCATTTTACCCAGGGCTACAGTGAGCTTCTCTCAAAAAAATAAGTAAATAAAATAAATAGCTGCACATCCCTAGTAGTTGCCTGATGGAGCAAGATAATTACCCTCAGCAGTGGAAGCTGATTGGCCGTGGACGGGCCTCTGTGTTTTTTAATAGTGCAGTCATGCTGCTATTTGTGGACTGATTGACTTTAGGGTTCCCCTTCTCCTCCCCTCAAGAATAAGGGTCTCATCTTCTCACATCACCCCTTAACTTCTCTCCTCTAATTCCTCTGGTATCACAACTATCTTCAGAGTGAGAGGGAATAAAAAATAGGGGTAGGATAGAGCCTTGCTATCTAAATAGTGCTGGGCTGCAGGACTGCAGGACACAGGCAGATCAGAGAAGCAGAAAGTTCTGAAGTGGAGCACCACCCATTCTTTGTCCCGGAATGTTCCTGCCACTGTGAAAACCTCATCTGGCTACACTATCTTCCGTTTTGACAAGTAAATGTTTGTCACACTTTTTTTTCTTCAGCAACTAGAAAAGGAGCTAATGGAACGTCAGCCTCAAGTAGATTCCTTGCAGGAGATCTCAAACAGCCTCCTGATTAAGGGGCACGGGGAAGACTACATTGAGGCTGAAGAGAAAGTCCATGTTATCGAGAAGAAACTCAAACAGTTACTGGAACAAGTGTCCCAAGATTTAATGTCCTTGCAGGGAACCCAGGTGAGTCCACTTGCGGCTTTTAAATGTGAAGATGTCATATTTAACGTGAGCAGAGGCAGTGCTGTGGCCTTGCTGTGGAAGGCCAGCTGTGAGCAAGGGGCAGGTGGTCATTGTGGGGTCTCTGTTGTGCCCCTTTCAAGCTGTGCAGACTTAAAAAGTTGCATGAGGTCTTTGAACCTGTTTTGTCATTTGCAGAAGTGAGGTGACAGTGAGCATGAGCGGGGTTATGACAAGCTATCATTTCTGCCCTATCTTCATGTCAAACACACACCAGCCTTCACTTTCTCATGGAACACAGTTCTGAGTTTTAACCACTGTCCTGGTCACTTTCTCTGACCACTCTCTCATTTGTCTACTTCATTCTCTTCCAAATGTGATCTAGTTCAAAACAGATGGGACACCCAGATGGTGGCCTCAGCAGATTTAGGGCAGGTTTGGTCCCTGTGCTGCAGAGTCTTTGTATTTTCTCCTACACTGCCAAGACGAGGCTGTCCTAATGGTCCCGAGCGTGTCACTGACCTGTGGTGAGCTCACTGTCGACTGAAACCATTGCTGTGACCCTGTTGCTGCTGCTAAACTCACTCTTCTCGCTGAATGCAGTAGGTTTTCGATGCAAATGGTGGACCTTGCCTGGTTTGCATTCCCATTTGCCTGAAAAAGTCTCCATTAGGGCTGGGCACAGTGGCTCACATCTATAATCCCAGCATTCTGGGAGGCTGAGGCAGGAGGATTGCTTGAGCTCAGGAGTTCGAGACCAGCTGAGCAAGAGTGAGACCCCCACCTCTGCTAAAAATAGAAAAACTTGCCGGGTGTGGTTGTGGGCACCTATAGTCCCAGCTACTCAGGAGGTGAGGCAAGAGGATCTCTTGACCCAACAGTTTGAGGTAACTGTGAACTATGACATCACATAGTGTCATATGACGCCACTGTACCCAGGGCAACAGAGTCAGACTCTGTCTCAACAAAAAAGTCTGTAATAGTGGAGGTGAGCAATAAAATAGCTCCTTTCTCAAGAACGATGTGGGCTGGGGAGGGGGCCAGCTGCAGCACAAAGAATCTGCACAGAGCACATTTCTGTGTTCTTGAGACAATACAGAATCTTCTATTTCCCTGAACTGAACCTTTGGGGTCTGCATTTAGAACCCAGACACATCTCTGCCTGGCTTGGATGAGGTAGACATGGGCGACCAGCCTCCAGCAACATCTGCACCAGTCCCCAACACAAAGGTGAGAGCCCCTTTCCTTCTAGGAGAACTTTGCTGGTTATTTTTGAAAATTACTGAACGGACAGGACTTGGGACTCCAAGACCCCATTAGACATTTCATAACAGCAGGGGTCTGCTCCAACCTGCTGGTCAATGGAGAGGCTTACTCCAAGGAATTTTTTTTTAATTGAATTACACTTGTTAAGGACCTAACTCAATGGCCCTCTTCTACTTGGTTCATTTCTTTAGGATACAGTAGATTGTAGGTTTGTTGAAGTGCTTCCTAATTTTGCCATCAAAATCAGATCAATGAACTAGACCATGAAACTCTCAGTAGTTTAACAAACCCAATTATTTTCTTCCTCATAGAGTTTAATTTCAAATGTATTACTCTAGTTTCAAAAATCTGGGGCCAGGTGCAGTAACTCACACCTGTAATCCCCATGTGGGGTGCTAAGGTGGAAGGATTGCTTAAGCCCAAGAGCTGGAGACCAGAACAAAAACAGCCTTGGAAGCGAGGTGTAGTGGCACACCTGTAGTACCAGCTAGTCTGGAGGCTGAGATGGGAGGATCCCTTGAGCACAGTAATTTGAGGTTACAGTGAGCTATGATTTCTCTACTGCCCACCAGCCTGGGTGACACAGCAAGACTTTGAAAAAAAAAAAAAAACTTAAAAATGCAGGAAGGTGACCTAAGGGAGATACATAGTTTAAGGAAGGATATTTATCATTGACAGGACTAAACTGTCTTCAATTTATTGATTGGATTTTTTTTTTTAATCCAGCAATTTGGAGCAGAGAGGACTACAGGTGATGAGATGGAGACAGAGAACAGGTAACATGGCATTACAGTCACAGCGCTGGGTTCCCCTGTCCCACACCCCCACTGTACCAGTCTTCCCAATGCCACTGTCAAGATCCTTGTAAAAATCTGGCATTGTCTGGCCTGAAAAGGGCTAGGCTACTCTTCCAAAACTGAAACCCAGCTGTTGGCCCCATTATAATCCTGGATTTCTTATTTACGTCAGCAGGAGGTCAGGTGACACGAGTGGGTTGTCCCCTGGAAGCTCCCCGTCGGCTCTAACCTCCTGTGTTGGCAGGGTGCCTGGCGGGGTGCGGCCACGGCGCTCCTTCCTCTCCCGAGTGATCAGGGCGGCACTGCCCCTGCAGCTGCTGCTCCTGCTGCTGCTGCTTCTGGCCTGCCTGCTGCCCTCCTCTGAGGAAGACTACAGCTGCACTCAAGCCAACAACTTCGCCCGCTCCTTCTACCCCATGCTGCGGTACACCAATGGGCCACCCCCCACATAGAGGGCCCAGCCAGCCACAGCTCCGCACCACCAGCCTGACTGCCAAGGTGCCCAACTTGTGACCCCAGACCAATCTGTGGGTGACTCTTAACATTGGCAAGATCACAGGACATGCTGCAGGTCCTTTCTACTGGTCTTGTCCAGCTCTGGAGCCCAGGGCAGCTTTCAAATGAATTTCCTCCCCACAGACATAGCACCTGGGCAGTAGGCACCCAGGCATTTGGCAAAGCTAATTGATTGGTTTAGGGATTTCTGGAAATGGCAGTTTCCTGAAAAGCCAAGCACTTTGTAAATTTTGATTTATTTGTAAAACAGCATTATTATGTAGTCAATATGTTCAGTGAGCAATGGTGTTCATGACATATATTATATATTGTAGAAACAAGCAAGCAGATTTCACCTTAGAAATGGTCTAGAAACTCACATGCACCCTTAGCTGATTGATTGAAACAATCGTATTTAAAATGTTTAGAATCAGTTTTACTTTGATCAGCTAGCCATTTTGAGCTGCAGGTTATAAACCAAAATGTTTTGTTCAGTACCTAGATCTGCTTTTTTATATCACTTTAAATTTTTAAAGAAATTCTATTGCATGGATGTGGTTATTTGTGCATATTTTTTAACAATGCTGAATCTATATGAATAATGTAAACTTTGATTTTTTTTAAAGAAAAATCAGATCTTAGCTCAAGCTTTTGACTAATGTACAGTAAATGCCAAACTACAGACTTGATAGGGATGTTTTTGTAAGTTAATTTTCTAAGACTTTTTCACATTTAAAGTGCTGCTTCAGTTTGGTTTGACTGTTTGGCCACACGCGGGGATTGGTACAGAAACCTGAAGCTGTTTTGTGATATGTACAACTCAGATGTTTCTCATTAAAAGACACAATTAGTCAGACTTCTGTTGTCCTGCATTATGTTACAAGGCTGGTCAATGGTATGTTTAGTCTACCAAAGAACAAAAATCATTTTTAAAATATTGGGGGTGGGGAGCTTTTAGTCTAAGTTTTATGTTCTACGTATTTAATGTTTATAGGATTATTTATGAGATTTAGAAACCCATAACTTGTCCTGGAGAGAAGGCCCTTGGTTATGTGTAAATTACACAGTATGTGACCCTCAAATATGGTGGGAACTATGAAGGTGGAATCGCATGGAAAGGTAAGGATGGTTGCACCCAGTTTTTCTATTTCCAGCTGTCTCCAGAGCCAATTAACATAGCTGGTGTCTAACATGTTACAGGCAAAGCCACCTGCTTCCCAGGCAATTCTAGTAACCACTGTCTACTTTCCACATAAACAAAGAGAATAAACACTGGGTGGTGCCTGTGGCCCAAAGGAGTAGGGCGCCAGCCCCATATACCAGAGATGGTGGGTTCAAACCTAGCCCCAGCCAAAAGCTGGAAAAAAAAAAAAAAAAAAAAAAAAAAATATATATATATATATATATAGTGATACCAAAGAGGATAAACACTGGTTTCATTTTCTTGATTAGGCATGACTGGTCCCAATTCCTAATCTCTTGGCACCTAGGAGCCCCTCCTCCCCATCTCTGCAGAGCCCAAAGCTCAGGAGAAGCCACACCTAAGGGCTGTGCTGTTAGTGCAATTGGGGGGCAATGTTGTGTGAAGAAACTACTGGAAGAGAATCTGTCTTCACGCTTTCTTAGGTGTTGGAAGTTACTGAATTGTTGAACTGATAGAGGAAGAGGGGTCGTTTTTACCACGTAACTTAAAAGTATTGTAACTGTTTAAAATAATTTATCTTTCTTCAGGAATTCAGAATGGAATATAGATACTAGTTCCTTCACCTAATGACTATAAGTTCTTATATTCAGCTCCCCAAAAATACATTTTTTAAACCAAAATCATGAAGATCACTTTATTTATGTCAAAGTAAACTCTCTGCAACAGTTCCATGGACATTAAAGGGACACAGTAACAAAAAAGCAGGGCCTGGAGGAAGAGAAAGCAGTTCTCAACATCTGCTTCCACACCACAGCAAACATTCATGTCTAAAAAGTTCCAAATTTAAAACTTGAGTCAACAAATTCATGGTTCAAAGCATTCCTCAGGAAAGGGACAAGTTACAGCCAAACGACAGGCACTGCGGTGCACAGGACCACTGAGTAATAAAGTTACAGGACCAATAGGCACAGCATCAAGGCACCCAGCACAGGAAAACAAATGCAGCAATGTTGATCACACAGGCAACAGGAAATGATCTGGGCTGGTATCATCAAACCTTTGCCCTTCCCAAAGAGGTGGTTGGCCCCACAAGTGAATAGGATGCTTGAATTAAAAAAAAAAAAAAGCCTTGACTCCAAAACCACGAAAGGGTGGTAAGATGATCATATATTGCAGTAACTAGGTACATCCTAGAGCTGCCAGTGGAACCAAAATCCCCATGTTCGAAAGCTACAAAGAGAAAAGGGCATGTGTTTTCAGCGAAGGGAAGGAGGAACCTGCAGCCCCGATCCCCTGTGGCCTTTTGGATCCTTGAGTGGGATCTTTTGACTGAATTTAAATTTTACAGAATAAATCCTTCTCATAAAGGGATTTTGTTCTATGAAGTTTGGATTCGGTCAAGGGGTGGCACTTTAGTGGACAGGAAGAATAGAATTGTTCTTTTTCTTTCCACCTGTCCTTGCTCTGGTCCTATAAAGGTTCATGCAGAGCCCATCTAAGCTGAGAAGGTAGGGCCTAATCTAATCATATCCTCCCCATCCCCATCCCGATCTGCTGAGATTCAGCCCACTGGCCAGGAAAGCAAAAGACTTAAATTCCAGTGAGGCTTTGCCTTAAGTAGCTTTATGAACTTGAGTAGGTAAATTAATTTACACATGCATAAAGATGGAATTGAACTTCCACATCAAAAGTTTGCAAGCTGTTCCCATCCATCTGCAGGGTGTCTCAAGGAGGTGACACTTAAGCCACAGCAGCCACACATGGCAGGTTCCATTTAATGAACGGATTCTGCAATTTTAAAAGTTTTCTTTAACCTTTTGTTTTAATTAGTTGAACTGCACAATCCTTCCAGCACTGGACTTAGATGCCTCACGCCCAGCTCTGTCACTTAGTCTCTGTGTGACCTTGCGCAAGTTTGCTTAGACTCTCTCTAGCTTCCACAGCCAGAAAATTAGGGTAACAGTAACTATTACTAGGAATAAACATGTCTGAGGCATTGAGAACTGTGTCTGGCACAGATAATATTTTTAGGTGTGTTTTTATCATTTTCTTTAAAATATTTTTAGCAGTTTAAATGTGTCAAATCTTTTTTTTTTTTTTTTTT